GTGCAGCGGAAGTTGAGTAGTTGAACCAGGCCCCCACAAGTCAGGAAAATTTTCCTGATTCAGGAAAAAAACAGGGAGTTTCTCAGTACTTACCCTGATTGTGCAGGGTTTTGTAAATGACAAACCCTGTTTTTTCAAGTTTTTTCTAAGGGTAAACTCTGATCGCTCAGCAAGGTTTCTTAGCGAACCCTGAATTTCTCAGCATTGTAGCGGGTCTTACCGTAATCCCCTGTATAAAACACCCTATGGTGTTAATAAAAATGCAACGAAATTTTGGGTTGGGTGTAATTAAAGGCAAAAAAAATACAGCACCCAGGAGTTATGGAATGTGCATATGCTACTTTTGATTTGAATTCAACTGTACTTGTGACAGGGCATTGTTCTGAGTCCCATTCTGCTATCTGATCGCGTACCCAACGATTTGGTCCATGTGCATGCCACATTGTCTACGTACGCTGCTGATTCAGTATGCTGCCAGAGTAGCCAATCAGCTTGTGCTGCAGGCAGCCACGTTGATGCCTCCAGCCCACGCTGTGCCAGCACAGCATGGGGTGGCGAAATCAACGGCACATTTTGTCGATGCCTTCTCACGACCGGCCAGCGCACGGAATCACACATTCTGGATGGTCGTGAGAGGCATTTCATGGGCGACATGGACGAGGGAGTCGCCCACGTCCCTGCCTTCCCCTCCAACCCACTCTTGAAGTGGGTCTACCCCGCTCCGTCCTCTCATTTTCAGTTTCGACTCCAGGATGCCTTCAAGACAGCCCCTGCAAGGGCTGTCTAAGGCATCCTCTAGCTCCGTCTCTGTAACGTCCCCCCGCCATGGCCTCAGGCTCTGGCTTGTCTCGCCTTCTGACTCGAAAGGGCCCTTATGGCCAGCAGACGTTTTTACTTCGTCGGTCCTTTGCCGACGGCGATGCCGCAGCGACAGACTCTACAAGCGTCGATGCTGCTGCGACAGATTCTGCAAGCGGCGACGCCGCTGCAACAGATTCTGCAAGCGGCGATGCCGCTGCGACAGATTCTGCAAGCGGCGATGCCGCTGCGACAGATTCTGCAAGCGGCGACGCCACTACGACGGAAGGCCGTCGTCCCCTGCCGCGCGTCAGCGTGCCGAGTTTCCCGGAGCCCATTCGACGACCCCGTGGTCCTACCTTGAATCACGATGTCCATGCCCCCGCATCTCGAAGCAGGATGACAAAGCGGAAGCGCCGCTCGTACTCTGCCTCGGAGAAGTTGTACTGGCTTTCCATGTTCGATGCTCAACCCGACCTCTCTGTGCGTGGACTCGCAAAGCTTGCAGGTGTCCAGCCGGTGTCGATTCGGGAGTGGAAGAATGCTCGCGAACGCCTCCGTGTCGCCGCCGGCTGCCGCAAACGCCTCGTCGGTGCCGGACGTCCCGCGAAGTACCCGACGATGGAGAGCGCCCTCTACCGACAGTTCCTGAGGCACCGCGGGAGGGGGCTTGCCGTCTCCGTCAAGCTGCTGCAGAAGTGGAGTCGCTCGTACATGCGCGTACATCATCCCAACGTCGACTGGAGAGCGTCGAGTCGCTGGACGTTCAGATTCCGCGCGCGCTGGGGCCTTACGCGTCGGGTAAAGACGAAGATGGGGCAAAAGCTCGCCGACGGTAAACTGCCGTCCCATCCTTGTTATTGATTCCCTTGCCGCGACTTTCAATATTTGATTCTTTTGATTGTCTTGCTTATCGCGTGTTCATGCCTGAATTTGTTCTCTGACTGTTTTGTTCTATGCAGACATGAGGACGAAGATCGAGAAATTCTGGGAGTTTGTCAAACAGATGCGGATTCTCAACCGGTACAACCTCGACCACATCGTGAACGCCGACCAAACCCCCCTCTTCATCGAAATGCCCCAGGAGAGGACGTTGGAGCACAGAGGCTCCCGTACGGTGCATGTGAGGACGGCCGGCTATGAAAAGGAGCGGCTCACCGTCATGTTGGCAGTCACCGCGTCGGGATTGAAGCTCCCGCCGTATGTCATCTTCAAGCGGAAGACGCTGCCAAAGATTCAGGTTCCCCCGGGTAAGAATCGCCTTTGCTTTTCGCTCTGTGCATAGTGTACACCGATGCATACCCTCTGACTGTTGTTGTGGCTTGTGATTGTATCCAGGTGTCATAATCCGAGCCCAGCCGAAGGGCTGGATGGACGAGAAGCTTGTCCAGGACTGGACTACTCAAGTCCTGAACCCGTTCTTGCGCCCGCTGCGCGAATCGGGGAATAGGCGCAAGGAGGCGCTCGTCATCCTGGACTCGTACAAGGGCCACCTCACGCAAGCAGTCGGGCAGACGATGAAGCTGTGCAAACTTACCCGCGCGGTCATCCCAGGTGGTTGCACGCCTCTCGTTCAACCGCTGGACGTCGCAGTGAACAAGAGCTTCAAGGCCGGCGTGCGCAGCGACTACGGCGCATGGTTTGAGCAGTTCGGCATCGACATGAAGACTGCGGCAGGTGAGCCCCTTCCTAGTCGCTTCCTCAGTAGTTTTTAGACTTCTTGCTTGTTGACGAATTCCACCGTGCCCGTTCCTAGTCGTCATCTTACCGTGCCCGTGTTCTTCTCCTCCCATTATGCTCCCATCCCATGTGTAGGAAATCTGAAGAAGCCCCCGGCTGAGCTCATCTTGAAATGGATTGCTCGATCATGGGAGGCTGTGCCAGAGGAGCTCGTGCGCAGTTCATTCAAGACGTGCGGTATATCAAATGCGCTGGACGGCACCGAGGACAACCTCGCTCTCCGCCACCTCCGCGGCAAGCCCGACCTCGAGGTGATGGACGATGTCCACGTCGAGGAGGGCGAGAGCGGCTACATCAACCCCCTCTGAGACGCCTTCATCGATGTGGACGGGGACGTCGCCGACGACGAAGAGGCGGATGCGGCGTCGCTGGCGGCTGACGACATCGACTGTGCTGAAGCGGCAACCGAAGCAGCTGAGACGAGCGCAGACAATGCAGAGACTGCATCAGCAGCAGCAGCAAGTGTTGATGTGTGGCCGGCAGAAGGCATTGCAGAGGAGGATGACGACAACTGCTGGTGGGATGAGCTTGCAGATGGGAGCGACGTCGAGATGTGGCAGGCTGGTGATGAGGAGCCTGAGGAGGACGACTAAAGCAGTGGCAGAGGCATGAGTATCTGGCGTAGTGTAAGGATTTAAAGTGTAGTGGATAATTTAGGTTCTAGGCAGAGCCAATAGGTAGAATTCAAGCCCTAGGTGGTGCCACTAACTAGTTCTATGGTTAATTCTGTTGAGTAGTAACTACGTGTACTCTAGTTGTATTGCTAACGTCTAATTCAAGAAGTTGTATACAGGAAAACGTAGAAAAAAACGTTTTTTCATCTCGGGGGGGGGTGGTGAAATGTTTTCAAGGCCAAGGGTAGGGTGGTAACTAAATCCAGTTAAATTAAACACCCATACCCGCTCAAGCTACCCGGGGGAGCTTAATTCCGGCGGGTGTTTTATACGGGGGATTACGGTAGTCCTTTCCAAAAGCGTGTCTAGGGGGGGCAGTCAAGAATTTCGAGGTTCTCCCCCCCCCCCTTCCCCCACCCCCCGAGGCTGTGTGAGGGCGCTGATTGGCCCTTGGTCAAAAAAATCTCGGCGCAGAATGTTGGAGGTCATGTGAGGGAGGTGTGCTGAGGACTGTGTGAGGGCAATTGCTAGCCCTTGGACGAATTTGCTTGATGTGCGCCTGCCCTAGGGCTCTGCGAGGGAAGAGATTCCCTCCGCCCCTGCAATCTCGTCGCCTCCCCCCCTATTCAGCCCTTCCCCCCTCTCTCCCCCACCAATTGTCGTTTCCTGCCCATCCCCCAATCTCGCCACACATGCGCGAATTCGCTACGAATTCCCAGCACCCCCCAAAACCAAAATTCATGAACTATAACATGTATAGAAAGATTGAAAAATCAGTATTTTTCATTTAAGTAATTCTGATGGCTCAGGATTTTTTTTTAGGGGACCCTGAAAATTCAGACTTTTCTGCAGGGAGAATCCTGATGGATCAGGAAGCCTCAAAACCAATCTAGGGCCCTGAGTTGAACCCTTGTACTAGTATATGAGAACAAGTGATTGATTAAAAGAACTGTTGGAAATACCTCAAGGACTTAAGCGTTTCTGAAGTGTAACACCACACTCGAGGAAGGTCGTAACGGGTACGCGAGTCAACGGAGGTTACACGAGGGGATGGACAAAGAACACGAAAGGACTCGAAGGGTCGCAACTGGAGGTTGCGACTGACAGTTACAACTGCAAAGATGGTAACCGAAGCGACAATCGAGTCGCTGTGCGACTCGATAACCGCTCTTTCAATTGTATTCTACAACTGCTTTACCTTCCTACTTTCTATATATTGTTGTATGCTTGTTCCTTTAATCAATCACTTGTTCTCACATACTAGTACAAGGGTTCAACTACCTCAACTTCCGCTGCACTACTCAAGTCTTTTACAACTGGGACTTAGTCTCTGGAAAGATCCTAAGGGCATTTCTCAGCCCAACATGGTATGAGAGCTGGTCAGAGACCAAACTCCCAGCAACTACGCTCTATCTACAATCAGCACACCAACGACTTCATTGATTACAAGTCATGGACAGCAAGGGCAAGAAAACCTCTACGGGCTCACCCAGTGCCCAAGATACTCAGCCCGGCAACTCTGGACTGCACACTTCAGGACTGCAAACCAAGATCGACGCTGCTCAAGAAACAACAGGAAGAGCACCAAAAATGGTGACCCCATCACCCTCTTCAAGCGTGGACCCGAACCTTATGGAAAGGTTCTTCAGCTTCATGTCACACTTCGACCAGCAGCAGCAGACAAGGACACCTGCGCATTCAACACAGAGCAACGGAGGAAACACGCGACTAGCGCCAATGAGTCTCGACAACTCATCGTTCGGGCGACACAATCAAGCGCCTACCTTTGCGCCTTATCACTCTTCACCGGGGACGTTCGAGTTCATACCGCCCCGTGCCCAACCAACA